TTTGGTCAGAACCATATCTATCAAGGTGAATGATGCTGACACAGAGGGAACAGAACGGCTTCTAAAGGAGAGCGGATTCCGGAAGATCCAAACGAGAAACATGACAGGTGAAATGAAAGAACCAGCGACAGATGGACAAACAGCAGGGCTAAATACAACTACAAAATGCCATTTATATAACTACAGAGATACAAGTAGTTGGAAGGATACTCTCTGCTTATGGTTGTGCCGTGCCAATCTAATTAAAAATGATGATACTCCATAAATTGATTTATCAATTTAGTGCCACACCAATCAGAATTACACAAAAGAATATCAAAAATCATTTGAATGAAAAAAAGGTCTAGAATATCAAGGAAAACAATGAGAAAAGGTATCTCAAATGGTATTATACAATAAGAAAATGATGTTACAGTATATTATAAAACAATAGCGCTGTTTAAAAACAAGGAAAGTAACTTAGGAAACAGATCAACTGAAAACAATATCAATGCTTTATAAATCCAAGAATATAAATCCTTGACAAAACGTTTCCTTTTGGGACCAAAACTTCTGGGAAAACTGGAAAGAATTTGGCAGAAATTTGTTTTAGACCAACATCTTACACCATATTCCATGATAAGCTCCAAATGGATACACGACATGAATGTAAGCAATCTAATAATTTAAAAATAATTAGGAGGAATGAGAAGAGTTTCCCTGTACAACTTTGGCTGGGTGTGTGTGTGTGTGTGTGTGTGTGTGTAATTCTTACTAATAAAAAAAAAGATAGAGGAGATAAAAAAATTAAATTGATCATTTTGATTACATAAATTAAAAGACTTCTGAATTAATAAAATTTACGAAGATGGGATAAGAAGAGAAACTAGAATGGGAAAATATTTGCATATAATATTGCCAAGAAAAGCTTGCTATCTAAGATATATAGAGAATTGACAAACAATATTATATGAGAAGCCATTTCCCAGTAGATAGGTAGTCAAAGGTTATGAGCAGTGTTCAAAAGAAGACCTGCAAACCATAATTCGTCACTGTTAAAACATGCTCCACATCACTAGTAATAAAAGAACTCTGACTTTTCCCTTCATACCTTGATAATTGGCAAAGATGACAAAAAGATAGGGTCTGTCCAAGCTGGTAGAGATGTAGAAAGATAGACACTTTAATGCAATGTTGATGGAGCTGTGCTTTGTTCCAACTGTTCTGGATATCAATCCAGAATTATTCAAGGATAACGATAAGAACTACTCCTGGGGCTAGAGGGCTAGGGCACTTATCCTCTTCCTCCCTCTCAGCTCTGGACCCACATACAGAGATTGAATTCAGTCTTGGGGGAGCGTGGCCTTTAAAGGAAGAGGTTAGAGTCCTTTATTGCGCCATTTTGTGCACCTAGAGCTTAGATTTCGCTCATGTTTAGGGCCCCCCCAAAAGGGAATAGAAGGTACTTAATGTATAATGTAAATCAGGTATAGTACATCTGTTTACTTCCTCCATACAAAAGAAATTCTAGACCCCAAAAACTCATAAGTCCACATTGACGAGCAGTATTCATTTATAACTACTATTATACTCTCTTGGGACGTTGATACTTAAAACATCAAAATATGAAGTATTTTGTGAGATTGCTAAAGCAATATATCGCCTTCATCTCAGCTCTGCCTTCAGTTCTATGTCTTCCAAGAAAGGTGGGGAGGGGTGGATGGGGCGGTATCTTCCTCCCTGTGGTTTTCTTATCTAAGTGTAGCAAGGGCACAGGGACTCCCAAACCTTTTGAATTCATAAGGTTGCTTCTAATGCCGGAAATATACAACTCAGTATCACTGCTCAATCATCTATACTCAAGAAAGCAGAAGAGGTAGCTAGGACTTTGAGTTCTAGTCTCAAATTCTTCTAAGCCAATGCATGTCCTTTAGGTGCCATGCTACATGGTGAAAGGACTTTGCCTTTTCTCTCAGCCCAAAAGTAGGTGCTATGCAATTGGGAAACAGCTGGAAAAAACCACCTGCAGCATATGAATATACTGGAATATTATTTCATAGGAAGAAATAAAGGAAACATATAAATATGGTAATACAGAGTGAAATAAGTAAAACAAAAAGAATAATATATATGACTATGACAACATAAGTGAAAATAGTACTAAAAGAAAACTGACCTCTAAATAAATGAAAAAAATCAATGATAGACCAAGTGGTGTTAATCTCAGCTAGAAACAGGGGTCCCTCATCCATACATAAGGATCCCTATGGGCCCCATATTGACTTAATTTAAAAATGTAATATTATCTATGTTTTATTGTCTTTTTATTTATTTTGTCAAGTATTTCTCAGTTAAATTTTAATCTGATTCTGGCCACACTCTGGAGTGGTGGGCTGCTTGTTAAATATCTCGACTATAGAACATAGAATGTACCTCCTTCACAGCCAATAGGGAGGGGATTACTGATACTGATTGTAGACATTATCAGGTGTGATCACCATATCTTCCTTCCTGTGGTTATCTTCTCCAAGAAGCTTTCTAAGAAGGAGTTCTTTTTAGAGATTCAGTGTTTTATCTTTTTTTTTAATTACAAGGGAAGGTTCAATTGGAGGTGTAGAGGGTGGGGCAGTTCCCTAAGAATGATTGTGAAGTAAAGGCAAAACCCCCCCCCCAAGAAACAAAAAGCCAAAAACCAACTACTTTATTTGTTTGTTTGTTTTTAAAGACAAAGCAGAGATTTACATGATCCTATCTGATTGTTGGTGTTGTCCTGAGGGAAGATGGGATCATCAGAGGAAAAAGTTGCTTGACTCCCTAGCAAACCTAAGTTTGTACCTCTCACTGAGGGCTCCTCCAAGGGGCAGACTCTAAGTCTATGAAACAGTAGAGGTTCTTTGGGGAAGGCATTCTCACCAAAGAGAGTTTATTCTCTTGAGCAGTAGGTGACTTCCATCTAAGTTAGAATGACTACATAGGTTGCTAGGGCTTTGAAAAGAATCAATGACATAATGGATGGCATCTTGACTTGTGGATGAATTGGATTGAAGCAAGGCAGAGTTTCACGAAGTCTTCAGCCTCACTCTCTCTTCCAGAGTCCTCAAAGCCCAGTGGCAAGACAAAAGTCAGAATGACTGGCGATAGTGGATGACCTTGACTTCCAAGCTCTAAGTGCTCCAGGGTACCAGTGTTAGGCCATTGGAATAAATTGTTCTCATCCACTGGTTTTGCTGGGAGAAGTCTTCACATGCTTGGGGCAGACACCCCCCTAATTCACAGATGAGTTTGAGGCCCATCAATTACCCTCAACCTGATTTAGCCTGTTTGCTGGGACAGTTACCAGGGTGTGGCTGCTGTACATGCTACAGCATCTTGGAGCCAGAGGTAAGAGTTGGGTAAATCAGGTGGACACCAAAGAGGGGTGAGCATCCCTTAAAAAGGCTCAGCAAGCCCTCACACCAGAGGTGCTAGTCCTCCTTGAACCTCCCATATACCTCAGGTCTTTAGAGAGCGGGGCCATGGAGGGAGTTGTAATTATTTACAGACTTGGGAATGACTCCTTTGCATTTTCTGCCTAGTTAAATAAATCCTGTCCTATATCACATGTTTTGTTAGCCTGAATGATTATATAGGAACTGAGGATGCTTAGAGGGAAATGATCCAATTTCTAATATTCCCAAGGGAGATCCCGCATGAGGATATGAGCCAGATATTGATATTTTCAGGAGAATACATGGCGGGGGGAAAAATAAGCCAAAGAATATGATTAGTGAGAGGCCCCCAAATAGCGAATCCTTTCTAAATAAATCAGTAGTAATGGTAATAATGGTAATGGGCCATTGATTTATGTCTTCTACTGAGAAATATGAATGTTACTGAAATAAAGAAATGAGTAAGGAGAGCATACAGGGATGGGTTCAGTGTGAGCAAAGGTATGTCAGGGTATAGTGAGAAGACCAGATTGACTGAAATGCATTGAAAGGGAGTTTTGAATCAGCTGCTATCTCTAACACCAACTAACTGTCAGTGTTAAGCTAGTCTCTGGAGCCTCAGCATTCTCATCTGTAGGGGGGTGATAATACCTGCACTCTCTATACCACAGGCCAGTGGTGATGAAAGTCCTTGATCAACTTTAAAACTCTATAGAAACTTGAGTTTTGGTGGAGTGGGAAGAGGCTGTCCTTGAAGTCTGATGACATAGTTTTAGTTTCCATTTCTTTCCTATCACTCATGACACTTCTCAGAAACTCAGTTTCCTCATCTACAAAATGAAAGGGTTTGATCTGGATGATTCTAAGGTTCCTTCCAGCTCTAAAGTCTGATCCTCTAAGTTGTTATTCTTACCCTAGGGCTTCTTTACAAACAGTAAGTTAAGGCTTGAAAACAGGAAGATGGACAGGCCTGATTCCCTTTGCCTTCTCCTCCTTTCTCTATGTCAGTTTGGCAGCTGTTGCTGAATTCTGGCTAAGCAGTAACCTGGGCTACAGCAGCTGCTCCCTCCTGATTTTAGATAGTGGGGGCGGGGCAGGGGTACTATTTGGCTCCCCTGGGAGTAATTGGTAGAGCTGGATGAGGCACCAACTACATCACAGTACTTCTTTGTCCAGCTCTGACCATAAAGGGGATGAGGTCTGGAGGGGCTGGCCTGAGATCTGTTTGATTAGTGTTAATCATTTACAAAGCTAACCTGTCTAGAAACTAACGCCTGAAAGTTCCGGGGGGGGGGGGAGTTCTGAACTGCCCATTGGAGCAACTAGGGTGAGGGCAACCTTATACTCTATAGAATGCCAGAGCTGGAATGGACCTCTGACATCACCTGATCTAACTCCTTGATTTTACAAAAGAGGAAACTGAGGTTTAAAGCAAGAGACTTGATCAAAAATCAAAGCTAATTGGTTGTAGAACCAAAATATAATGGACTGGGTGGGAGTTGAGGGAGAGACTGGACTTGGAAAGATGGGTCATTCACTTCAGCTTAAAAGTAAATGAAACTCAGGTGTCCTTAGGAAACAGATTTGAAGAGTCCAATTTGACTCCTGGGCAATATCTCTGGGTGCTGAGTACTTGGTAAGCTTTGTCAGCATACCCACCATTTTCCTCCATAGTTATTGGGCTTCCTCAGGATGTCAAGATAGTTCTCCTCCTCCTCCACCTCTTTTTCTTCCTCCTTCTCCTCCTCCTCCTCCTTCTTTGCCTGAAGGGTTCATGTCATCACAAACAAAATCACTGAGTATAGTCAATTTTGAGAAAGCTCATTACTTGAGTCCACACAAAACAGTGGGAAACTAGAGGACCAGCCTGAGAGATGCATGGACAATCCTCACTTCCTTCTCCAACAAAAAGGGTGAGGGGCACTGAGACACTGCCTGGCAGAGTGGAAAGAACCTTAGATTTGGAGTCAGAGAACACAAGCTCAAAGCCTCTCATTGTTCCATACTTACTACATGTGACCATAAATAAGTTACTTCACCACTCCATCTCCTCTTCTGTAGAATGGGAGATCCCTTCAAGCTGTAAATATCTGTAAAAAAATTTTCTGATCCCCTCACTACAATTGTCTTTGACAACATTCTCTCCCATGGGGTCCAGGGACTGGGAGATCTGGCAAAGACATCTATCTGATCCATCCCGACTGTAAGTCAGGACTTGCTGAAGGTTCAGGGCAAGAGCAGCTGCCATAATGTAGATCCCTGCCCAGATTGAGCCCAGGCCAGCAACCCTATTGAGAAATCTTTCCTCACTGTATGTCTTTGAACTTGTGATATATGTGGCTCTTGGGTCCTCTTTCCCCAAGAAGAATAGCACCATCTTTTCTCCTCATGTTCCTTCTCTGAAACAAGATTGTGGGATGGGAGTGGGGTTGGTGGTAGCACCCAAATTGGCTTTCTCTATTTTGTCTCCTGACAGAGGATGGGAGGTGTGGAACCCAGAGAGCCGGAGAAGGAGTATTTGGGACAGGAGACCAGACAAGATTTATTGCCTCTTCTGACACTGACCTTGTAGGTGGAAAAGTCATCATTGTGCACATGAGTCATCATTACTCCTCAGAGCTGCAGAAATGCTGGCCAGTGGAATTTTTTTGCTGTGGAGAGAAGGTTGGATAAGTCACTTTTTAACTGTAACTTCTCAGTATAGGACATCAATCGTCCAACTTTATGTTTGAGGAAGTTATAAGGTTAAAGGGAAGAAATCTTATGGGCCAGGGTGGGGAGATAAGGCTGAATATGGACAGGGGGTTAGTGGGGAATAAGCCCTGTTGATGTCCTCTCTTCAAAAGGGAGCAGTAGGGCCTAAGACCCTAGTCACTTAGCCTTGTAGTCAACTCCTGAGGAAGACCTCAGCTGATTCTGGGTAGGACAAACTGCTTAACTTCCTCAGGAATTAATAGATTTCTATTCCACTTAGGGAGAATTCTAAGTTTTTTGAATTCAGAAGGCAAATCCATACTAGATATCCATTATGGTGAAGGTTTTTCAGGAATTGGTCCCCTAATAAGCTGGAAACTGAAAGAGACTAGGCTTGGGGTGTCAGTCATCCTTCTAAATCAGGCCCCTCAGTGGCCATCTGGTCTAATCCCCTTTTTTACAGTTGAGGAAACTGAGGCCCAAAGTCACATAGGTAGTAAGTGTCAGAGATGGCATTTGAACGTATGTGCTCTGACTCCAGAGCTAGCTCTACCAAGCTGCCTCCTGTATCTGCCTTCCTTTTACTCCGAAGACTCTCCTGATTCTTTTGACTCCCCTGGGCCTTAGGGACACTTGAGGGTGGCTTCTTGGCAAACTCTTTAGTGCGGTAAATTTGACTATGGTGTTGGACAAAGGCCTGGGACACCTAAGACTTGATGCCCACCCCCATCTCCCATTCCACAAAGTGAGCTTTATGTGGTTGTGCCATTGAGAGGGGCAGAGGAGGGGCTACTATCTACCTGAGGGAAGTGGGGTGGGGCAGATGTTGATAACTTAGAGTGGAAATGTTAACAGTCTTGGGAAAGTGCCCAGACCTGTTGGAAGGAGGGAGAGAGGGAGGGAGAGACCTTATCATGGATTCAGTGAGGCTGCTGGTAACAGATTTAGGAGTCATTTAGGAATAGCTCGGGCACCTAGATGGTACATTGGATAGAGTGCTGGGCCTGAAATCAGGAAGATTCATTTTCCTGAGTTCAAATCTGGCCTCAGACATTTACTAGCTGTGTGACCCTGGGCACGTCACTTAACCCTATTTGCCTCAGTTTCCTCATAACATTCCTTAGGGCTATGAAGTGAAGGTGATAGATTTAAGGGATTAGATCTAGTAGATAGAGTGGTTGAGGGACTACAGACAGAGGTTCACAATACTGTACAGTAGGTAGCAACAACAACAACAAAAACATTCCAAAGAATAAGAGCAAGAAAGCAAAACGGTTGTCTGATGAGGTTTTACAAATAGCTGAGGAAAGAAAGAAAAAAAGAAAGAAAAAAGAGGAAAGATGTATACAACTAAATTCAGAATGCCAAAGAGTAGCAAGGAGAGAGAAAATAGTTTTCTTAAATGAGCAAGGCAAAGAAAACAATAGAATGGGAAAGACAAGAGATCTCTTCAAGAAAATTTGAGATATCAAGGGAAAGTTTCATGCAAAAATAGGCATGATAAAAGGCAAAAATGGTAGGGATTTAACAGAAGCAGAAGAGATTAGGAAGAGGTGGCAAGAATACACAAAAGAACTACATAAGAGGGGCAGCTAAGTAGAGCAGTGAATAGAGCACCAGCCCTGGAGTCAGGAGGACCCGAGTTCAAATCCGGCCTCAGACACATAACACTCGCTAGCTGTGTGACTCTGGGCAAGTCACTTAACCTCATTGCCTCACTCCACCCCCCTAAAAAAAAAAGAACTACACAAGAAAGATCTTGACATCATTGATAACCAGGATGGTGTAGTTACTTGTCTAGGGCCAGATATCCTAGAGAAAGAAGTCAAGTGGGCCCTAGGAAGCATTGCTAGCAACAAGGCTAGTGGAGGTGTTGGAATTCCAGCTGAGCTATTTAAAATCCTAAAAGATGATACTGTTAAAGTACTTCACTCACTATGCCAGCAAATTTGGAAAACTTAACAGTGGCCATTGGATTGCAAAATATAAATTTATATACCAATCCTAAAGAAGAACAATGCTAAGCAATATTCAAATTACTTAACAATTGCGCTCATTTCAGATGCCAGCAAAGTTATCCTTAAGATCCCTGCAAGCTAGGCTTCAGTAGTGTATGAACTGAGAAGTACCAGAAGAGCAGGCTGGTTTTTGAAGAGGCAGAGGAACTAGAGACCAAATTGACAATCTTAGCTGCATTATGGAGAAAGCAAAGCAGTTCCAGAAAGAAAAAAAAAGCATCTACTTCTGTTTCATTGACTACACTAATACCTTTGACTATGTGGATCACAACTAAATGTGGCAAGTCCTCACAGAAATGGGAGTACCAGATCATCTTACTTGTCTCCTGAGGAACCAGCATGGAGGCCAAGAAGCAACAGTTAAAACCAAACACAGACCAACTGACTGGTTTAAGACTGGAAAAGGAGTATGACAAGGTGGTATGTTGTTCTGATTTGGGCTGGGGGAAGATACTCAGTCAATCAGTAAATCAAGTATTTACTAAATACCTACAAAGACAAAAATGAAACACCCTTGTCCTGAAGGATTTCACATCCTATTAAGGATATGTATACATACATATGAATAAAAATAAAAAAAATACATCCGATTAAGTTGTTGGGGGGAGTAATTGGAAGATCAAAAGAGGCCTCGTAGAGAAGGTAGTGTTTGATCTGAGCTTTGAAGGAAAATTGGGGAATTCCAAGAGGCAGAGGTGAGGAGTTGGGCATTCCAGACCTATGGATGATAAGATGGGCTGTCATGTGCAAAGAATAATTGTAAGGCAGCAGAGGCCATGAAGGGGAGCAGACAGCCAGATGGGGTACAGAATAGGGCATTGGGCCTAGAGTCAGGAAAACCTGCCCTCAGATCTGGCCTTCGACATTTCCTAGCTATAAAATCCTGATCAGTCCCCTAACCTCCATCATCCTTGGCTTCCTCATCTGTAAAACAGGGATAATAACCTCCCAAGGTGGTTGTGAGTGTCAAACGAGATAACATTGGTAAAGTGCTTTGCAAACATTAGATTTATATAAATGCTTGCTATTATTATTATGTGTAACAAGACTAAAAAGGTAGGTTGGAGGCAGGTTGCAAAGGGTTTTAAATGTCAACAGAGGAGTTTTTATTCTTTTTGAGAGTGAATAGTGAGTAGCCTTTGTAGCCTCTTTAGGAGGAGAGAGAAATGGGCTGACCAATATTTTAGGACCATCTCTTTGGCTGCTGACGCAGCTGGATAGATTAAAGAGACTTGAGGCAGGGAGACCAATGAGCAGACCCTTGTGGTGAGGCCTTGAACCAAGAGTGATGGCCCTGTGAAAAGAAGGAAGGAGTCAGAAGCTATGGAGATAGAATTGAAACACTTGGTAACTGAATGAGAATGTGGAGTGAGAGAGATGGAGGAGTCTAGGGAAGCCTGGTCCAGAGATTTAGGTGGTATCCAGCACAGCCATGGGAGGTATCTGAGCTTGGGAAAGTGAGAAACCTGACTTCATTTACTCCCCACCTGCTTTAACTTTTCATCTCTCAGGGGAAAGCACCAGCTAGCAGTCAGCTAACAGTGTATGAATCTTCAACAGCTTCCTTCTCTCTTCTGGGGACAGTTTGTGCATGGGAATGGGAAGGAGAGGCCTTAAAGTGTCTCTTTTGGCCTCCAGTCATATATCTCCAACTACTTATTGGACATCTTGAACTGGATTCCCACACAATGGCTTCCTTGGTGTTTCTTGTACATGTTGTTCAGTCATTTTTCAGTCACGTTTGACTCTTCATGACCTCGTTTGCGGTTTTCTTGGCAAAGATACTGGAGTGGCCTGCCGTTTCCTTCCCTAGCTCATTTTACAGATGAGGAAACTGAAGCAAACAGGGTGAAGTGACTTGCCCAGGGTCATACATCTAGTATATGTCTGAGTCTGGATTTGAAGTCTGGTCTTCCTGGCTCCAGGCAAGGCACTCTATCCACTGTGCCACCTCAAAGCCCTTTCTTGTATGTGACATGAATTTTCTAATTCCAAGCATTTTCATCTATTATCCCTCACGATAACTCTTTCTGTTATCTCTATCAGCTGGCTTCCTTCAAGGTTGTGCTCAAGTCCCACTTTCTACAAGAAACCTTTCCCAGTCTTCCTTTATCTTAGTGTCTTCCTTCTGAAACTACCCCAAATGATCCTGTCTATAGCTTGTTTGTATGTGGAGCAGCTAGGTGGCACAGTGGATATTGTGCCAGGCCTAGAGTCAGGAAGACTCATCTGCATGAGTTCAAATCCCACCTCAAACACTTAGTAGTTGTGTGACTCTGGGCAAGTCATTTAACCTTGCTTGCCTTGGTTTCTTCACCTATAAAATGAGCTGGAGAAGGAAATGGCAAACCACTCCAGTATGTCTGCTGAGAAAATACAAAATGGGTTCGTGAAGAGTTGGACATGACCGACAACAATAAACTCATGGTTTGTTTGTACATTGTTGTTTAAATATTGTCTGCCCCGTTAGACTATGATCTCCTTGAGAATAGGGACTCCCCTCCCCCCTTCTTTGTATCCCCAGAGCTTAGCATAGTATCTGACACATAGTAGGCAGTTAATAAATACTAGTTGATGGACTGATTGGTTATTGAGGTCTGTAGAGAACTAAAGAGATCTGCCTCAGGATCTTAAGGCTGAGTTGGAGAATCACAGTAACTGGGCACTCCAAATAAGAACCCCCAATGTCCTGTGTAGACTACTGCCTTCCCACTCACAAAAAAAAAGTACTTTCCCCAGATATGAGGCTGAGGGTGAAAGCCCCACTCCCTCCCAAAATGACCTTTAATTCAGTGTGTGTGTGTGTGTGTGTGTGTGTGTGTGTGTGTGTGTGTGTGTGTTGTCTCCCCCGTTAGAATGTAAACTCCTTGAGAGTAGTCAAGGACTGCTTCACTTTTGCCTTTGTACCTGTAGCCATAAAGGTTTTCTCATAAAGAAAAGCATCTTTTGCTAGGCTTCCCAGGAGGCATACATGAGCCCTTGTCTGTAGGAGAAAAGTGAAGCTGTGGAGCAGGGGATGGGGCTAAGGATTGTCCCTCAGAAATGTTACTTTTTGAAGTGGCTCTCAGACTTTGCCTCCTCTGGCCTGGAGATCTGGGGGGAGAAGGCTGGGTGAAAGTAAAGGAGAAAAGAAACATAAACATGTGCACACAGATATGAACAGACACATAAAACAGCAGCCAGGCAGACCTCTATCTGAACACTCACGGGGGCAAGGGATTCCTATGGGACACACACACACACACACACACACACACACACACACACACACACCACACGATGTGTCTGCCCAAGGTCAGACTCATCCATAATCAGCTACAAATGTAACAATGGATGCCACTAGAATTTCATTGTGTTGACACATGGTTTGAGGAGACAATGGATGCTTGTTTCCCTTCCAAGGCCCATGTCCTTCCTTTGCTTCCCCCCCCCCCATCAAGCCAGTCTGAGACTCTGGTTGTCTGGAATGGGGCCTCCACCCTCAGCCTCATATCTGGGGAAAGTACCACAATTCATGAAGGAACACCCTGTTTTTCCTTAGCCTTTTGGGAGAAAGGGGCATGTGGTTAGGGGAATGGGTAGGGGCTATGTTGACTTTAGGCCAAACTGACCTTCACTCTGTAACTCAGATTTCCCTGGTGGTGTTGACAGATGGGCATGAGGTGAAAACCCTAAGGGCAGTTGAGATGCTCTTGCCCTGGGTGTCTTTTAGAAAAAAGAATAGTATCCAAGGTAGTCCCACTCCTGAACTACTTCTTCTTACCCCCCTCCCCACTCTTACCCTCACCATCACTCCCTGTTGATACCCCTCTCCCCTACCTCCTTTGACAAAATCCGCAGAAAGTATATAGTCAGAGGATCTGGATTCAGATCCCAACTCTGCCATTTTACTATCTATATGCTCTTGGAAAATCTGTAAAATAAGGGGATTGTACTAGATTGTCTGTAGGATCACTTCCAACTCTAAGGCTATGGTCCTGAAAGTCTAACTAGGCAGAGAGATAGCCCAAAGCTGATGGATGAATGCTTTGAAAGATGAAGCATCTTGGCCTGTTTGCTTTTCCCAACATAGAGGTGCTCCATATTCCATCTCTGTGCCTTTGTACTGGCTGTCCCCTATGACCAAAATGCTCTCTTTCCTCTCAGAATCTCTGGTTTCCTTCAAGACTCAGCTGAAATATTCCCTTCTATAAGAAGCATTTCCTAGTTTCCTGCCTTTTGCTTCCCTCCCCTGCCCCTCAGATGCTAGTGTACTCCCTCCCAAATTGACTTTTAATTCAGTGTGTGTGTATATGTGTGTGTGTGTGTGTATGTGTGTTGTCTCCTCCATTAGAATGTAAACTCCTTGAGAGTAGCCAGAGACTGCTTCACTTTTGCCTTTGTACCTATAGCCAGACAGTCAAAAAGTATTTTGTTGTTGAGTTATTTTAGGCTATTCATAACCCTATTTGGAGTTTTCTTGGCCAAGATCCTGGAGTGGTTTGCCATTTCCTTCTCCAGCTCATCTTACAGAGAGGAAACTGAGGCAAACAGGGTGAAGTGACTTGCCCAGGGTCACACAGCTAGTTAAGTGTCTGAGGGCAGATTTGAACTTAGATTCTCCTGACTCCAGGGCCAGTGCTCTACCCACTGCACCACCCAGCTGCCCTCAGAAAGTATTTTTAAGAGCTTACTATGTGCCAGGCATTGTGCTAGGTGCTGGAGAGATAAATAAAGGCAATAAATACAGTCCCTGCCCTCAAGGAGCTCACAGTCTAATGGGGAAAGAAACACACAAAACAACTAAGGATAGATAGAGATACAGTAAATAGGAAGAAATTTCAGGGGGAAGGCATTATAGCAGTGAGGATGGGGATGAAGTAGGAAAGGAGGATCAGGAAAAGCCTAGAGCAAGAAAATTGCCTGGCACATAGTAGGTACCTAATAAAGGCTTGTTGATTGATGAAAATATGACCTTAGGCCTTGATGATCTCAGTTAATTTCCTGGGGAACCAGCTTCTCCTTGGAATTGCTCCCAAAGCCTTTAGTTTTGGCCCCAGTGCTTTCATTTTCCAAACCTCATCAAGGTTTTTCAAATCCTGCATCCGACATTTACTAGGTGGACAAGTGTCTCAGCCTCAGTTTTCTCAACTGTAAAATGTGGAT